TTTCGTGTGATACGAACTTTTAAGGAGTTCGAAATTCTCCTTATTTTTTTCCTTTTTTTTTGCTTTCTCTTATTAATAAAATCATACTACAATTTCAGAGTAGATTAACAATACATTTCAATTTAATCATATCATTACTATCTACATATTATACTAATAATATAAATTGTATGTATATACGTTAATCTAAAAAGTAGAAATTATTCGAATGTCAAACAGTTTTTGATTAATTCTTGACCCGAAATAAATATTTCCTTAACATTATACTAGTGTTCGTTTTCTTACTTCAGTCACTAAATAACGAACATAAATGTTTTCGTTGAATTTGTTCAACTTGAGTTTCGAATAAAATTTTTTCACAGTTTCACAAGAGAGAACCTTCTTGCTGAAATTTAACACTTTTTATTGAGAGTTTTATTATGTAATTATTTAAACTAAACATTTCTACTGCTCCAGCTCTAAATCTAAATTTCATGCGATTAAAACCTGTTTTTTTTTAAATGAAATTTTAAACAGATATTATTATTTTAGAACTGTTTGTATATGTGTATATGTTATAGTTCTGCTTCTGTTTAGTATTTCAGTTTTTCTTTATTTATTTTTCATATGATCCAGCCGGGTCTCAATCCTTATCAAAAATGTCAATATTCTGATTTTTTTTTTTTGTGTATACTGTAAACTTGCACTTTTGTATAGACTAAAATTTTCAATACACATATATATACATGCTTCTCGTTAATGTATAAGTTTAGCTGTACACTCTATGTTTTAGTTCTTTATTTTATTTGTTTTTGTTTTGTATGTTTGGTTTACCTCTTAATGATTACGTCAAAAAATTTTCAAACTTTATCAGTTTGAGGGACGAACCATGTATACATTTAATATACTATTATACATAATTATAAATTTATTTAAGAATCGATTTTTCATATAAAAGTAAACAAAATTTAGTGGATTTTAATTACCTTTCATTTTGTTGTTATTAAAGTAAATTAATTATTTAACATAGATAAATGGAAAGAGTAAGATAAAAAGTTATGTTGTTAATTTTATATGTAAATAATTAAAGTTTTTTCAAAGTAATTTGAAAGTGATAGATATAGATGATTAGGATTAAGTCACATACATTCATAAAATCTATATATATACAGTATGCATACGCAAGTTGATGAAAGACGTTTTTACTGACCGTATTGCATACAATGAGCGAAGTTATGTGATGGTACCAAACTTCCGATTTCTCTATTTTAAGGAAGCGTAAAAAAACTAGTTTTAGAAATATATTTGCCAGCCTGTTACATAAACCTAAGCCCCTCTGTCAGTCTGTGCAGATTTGTATTTCATTCGGTTTTTCCGTTCTCAAAGCCGGGTTTCTGAATAATTTTGAAACGCCTTCATATAACATATTATATAAATGACATTTAGCATGTGATCAGGGATTTTACGACGTTGCAATAATAATATTCAGATACAAATGCCAAAAAAATATGTTTGGGATAAAACAAAACTCTATAAAAAAAATTCATGTAAATAATCATATTAAGGTAATTTGATATTTGATGTGTACAATACAATACACGCACAATATTATGTAAGTATATATAATATCTAAAGTATTAGAACTCATATAAACTTATTTTGAATACAATAAATTACTATGATACCTGTAGTATCGAAAGAAACTTATTATTTTTTTGCAATTTATAATTACATTTCTCAGACTAAAGTTCAGACTTTCAGCAATTTGGCAAAATTCTATAAAATTTTATTACTTTTTGTTTTGACGTTGATTAATTGGGTAAATTCTACTTATATTTGTATGTTTGTACATAATATACATCAACACAATCTCAAATATACTAAATTCACATTGATATTATGAATTTAAAAAAAAGTTGGTGTATATTGTGATAGACTTGGATACACATACAAGTATACCACTTATAAAAAAAAATGTGAAACCTTCCCTTTCATAAAGAAGGTTAATATTTTTTTGTGCGTTGTGGTTCTTCATTTTTTTATACAATGTTTTATAGTACTATAGTAAATATTTTTCATTTTAAAAGAAATATTTTGCTGCCCCAACGGGTTTTCATAATATTTGTTTTTAAGAAGATATGTTTTTTTTATACTTACATTTGAAAAATATTAGCTCAGTCTAGACGTTATAATTATAAAGGTTACTCGTAATACTGAAGATGTTAAAGATAAAAATGTATTACAAAAATTTCAATGATTTCTGATACTTTTTTAAAATTAAATATCAAACGTATTTCCAGACGTGGTGTGAATTTTTTGAAAATAATAAAGATTTGCAAACAATTCGTAATAAATTGAAAGTTATAAATAATGAGAAATTATTGTATTTTGTATATAATTTGTGTAATAACAGAACTGTGTTTCTTTTTAAAAAATAAAATGATATTATTGTCAACTATTAGCAAATTTATTGGAATTCTTAATATGCTGTTATAACTGTAAGTAATTTCAACACATAACTGTAGTGTATAGTTTTAGTATAATTGGCAAGTAAGTTTAAAACATCTGGTGTTATTCTCTCATGGAACGTGTGACAGTATTTTGCTAAAATTAGCAGTATATTACGGAGAAAGTTTTGGAGTATTTAATAATTTCAAATGTATTTTTATATAGGACATACGAGTATCATACCGTACTAAAATATTTTGGTTACAAATGCACAATATAAAAACGACAATTCAATTGGAGTACCCTATTTTTTCCGCTAACTTCTAAACCATAACAGGAAATCACTTTACAGAAATTACAGATGTTCTTAATAATTAAAGAAAGTCAGATGTTCCTAACGGGTTTATTAAAGTTTGGAATTTTGAAATCATCGGAACTAATTTATAATCGTATATGTACATCTACTGCATACAGAAATGAAGTTTTCCCCAAAATTTGAAGCTACTCATGGAAGTCTCTGCAATTGCATACAACTGTACATTATGAATTTGAACCCGCTTTATATGTCATTTATAAGGTTAATTCTATGGAGGAAAAAATCAGGTCAATGTTAATAAACTAACAAATTATAAATTTTGCTTGGTTTTCATCCCAAGCTTCTTTACGTTATTTTTTAACTTTTTTTTAGTTTACGTTGAACTGGTTGTAAAATAATATATATATAATAATATTCATATATGTATATAATAAGTATTTGTAATAATATTATGTAATAATATTCCGGACTCTTCCGAAAAATGGTGAATTTGTCATTGTTAATGGAACTGTTAAGCACCTCATATCCAATTTCGAAATGAAGCCGAATTTCTCATATTCAAAACAAAGAACTCGTGTTATTAAGAACAGAAATTAAAAAAAATGTCGGAGTATAGCCATAATTCAAATTTTGAAAATCCTTATGAGGATTTGTACGAGTATGAGGACAAAGAAATAAAAACGCTATGAGAAAAATTGAATTAAAGTATGATAACATCGTTTTTGGTTTTATGTATGCGGTCTGTGAAAAATGTTAAAAAGATTTTAGGAAAATTTATGGAAGAATAGTGTTAAAAATTGAAAAAAAAAAAAACTTTCCACGCCAAAGTCGTCACGGTTTTTGTTCGATGTGGGAGAATTAATCATTACTCAGTAGTAAACATAGTGTTTATATCGTAAGCACGAATACATACACTTACGGTTTTTATATAAATTTGGAAAATATATGATAATTTGTAAATTGTAGTCAATAAATTATCTTTTAGTATCAAAATAAGTCTGTAGTCAACATGAATGTATAAAATTTTGTAAACTAAAAATAGCAAAAAGCAATAACAATAAAGTGTCTCTAAAAATAGCAAGTTTTATTGACTAATTTTATTTAAAATAAATCGTAAATAACACGCTCTAATATATATAGTATGTGCCTAAATTGTATATGAAGCAAATTATTGGTCTATTGCAGGTATATAGGTTAAATACACGGCCCTTCAATACAAAATATACAGCTCGCATATACTTTTAATAAATTTATTTATTAACATTTCAATTAAGGTAAACAAAATTGAATAAAGAAATGTAAGTCAATATGGAGCTTGATATTCAAAATTAATAAATGTATGCAACATAAAATAATTCATAATCATATTGCATTAGCTTTGGAACATTGACGACGTGAGGAATAGAAAAAAAAACCTAGCATATTATGTGGGCTGGCCCAAACATCGTAACAGTTAAAGAGATCTGGCTTTTAGTAACATTGTAATTTGTACATATGTTTATTTTGTGTTTTGGATTAAATCCAATTTTCAATTTGCCAAAACAGGTGCAAAAATAATTTAAATGCATGTTCAATATTTTAGAACATAGTAAGTAAAACAGAGTATTTTTTAATAAGTTTACTGAAGTGTATTTACATTTTTAATATGTATTGGCCAATAGATGTTTTACATACATATTTATATATATTTATAGTAGAAAAGTCGTTAGCTCTTCCATTATTGTATTATATAATGTCCATCAGGATCTTGTACTAAATTTTTAAATTTAATAGGAGAATAAATCAAAGAATTTGTATTTCGCACAAAAATCCTATTAAAATAATTTCTATGTATTTTTCTTCAACTATATGTAGTTATATACTCTACCCGAAAATAAATTTGGTCCAATAATAACATTTATAATTTATGTTCTAAATTTCTCTAATCCCTATGAGCCCTTATAAGATGTTTTTGCAAATGTATACTAATTTATCTGAAATTTCACTATAAATGTGTATGTGACTAGATAAAATAGTAGGGAGAACTCAAAACATGTTATTACGCAGCAATGAAATAAATTCTTAAACCATGCCTTTTTATTGTTCAGAGCAGTGTTATCTTTGTGGGAATTAATAATCATTTTTGGTAATAACAACTTTGAATCTTTTCTTATAGGTCTAGTTCAAGCTTTCCATTTCTTTTGTTCTTATTAAAATTTTATTTAATTGGAAATCTCATTAATTAATCCCGTTTTCTTTATTTTTAATTTATTTTCAGATATATTTTTGCAATTTGTATTCTAAACCGCAAACATGATTAATGTGGCTGGTGTTGTCAGTATTGTATTATTTTATTTATTAATATTGGGTGTTGGAATATGGGCTGGAAGGAAGAAAGAAAGTGGAAATGATTCCGAAGAGGAAGTCATGTTAGCTGGTCGATCAATTGGATTATTTGTTGGTATTTTTACTATGACAGGTAAATTTTCCTATATTTTTTTCTTATAACACTTTTTTGTATCTCTCATATTACGTAATTATTAAAATTCCTTAATTTTTTTTCTACCTTTTGGCGTAAGGTGTATTGAATATATTAAAAATTTTTTTTTGTTTTAAACATAATTAAATTATTTTAGTTTTAATGAGTTTTTTTTTGTTTTTCGTTGAAAAGAATAAATATTCTGAAGTACACAACCAACCGATATCTTAAGAAAAGTTAAAAAAGAAAAGCAATAATAAAAGAGTTTTCTTTTTCTTTTTCTCTAACTTTGTAATTTCTTTAGCTACATGGGTTGGTGGAGGTTACATTAATGGTACAGCTGAAGCAATTTATACTACTGGTTTAGTATGGTGCCAAGCTCCATTTGGATATGCGCTGAGTTTGGTATTTGGTAAGAAATATAAAATTTGCTCGTACATTTTCAGCAAAAATAAAAAAAAAACAAAATTTCGCCTCTTTATATGCTATACATTTTGTGTATACGATATTATGTGTATTTGCACATATTTTACATATTTAATCAAGTACATGCCAAAAAAGTGAATTGTGTTTTATTTTAGGTGGAATATTTTTCGCGAATCCTATGAGAAAACAAGGTTACATCACAATGTTAGATCCGTTGCAGGATACATTTGGTGAAAGAATGGGTGGTTTATTATTTCTTCCGGCCCTTTGTGGTGAAGTTTTTTGGGCTGCTGGTATATTAGCTGCTTTAGGTAATTCTTATATATTGTGTAAAATGTAATAATAAATTTAAATTTTTTTAAATGAAGAGAAAAATTGAATGTTTTTTATTCAAGGATTTTACACTTTAATACATATGTATTTAGACTCTTGCACTTTATAATTTTGTAACGAATCAAAAAATTTCTAAAGAATTAAAAATAGATTTTACTTGTAAATGTAAAATTTTTGTTTGTTTGTGGAACGAGAAATGTTGTATTAACATTTTCACTATTGAATTATAATTAAATGTAAAGAAAATGGTTTTCTGTTTATCTGTTGTCATGTTTATTAACCTAGTTTTGGTACATTAAAAAGTATTATCTTGGTTAGCTTGGTGGAGAAAGTTGTTTTAAAATTAATTAATTGATTTAACAACGCTTGAGACACTCCGTTTTGAGCTAATGCACTGAGTCTTGTCTTAACAACATATTTGTGATTTATATATCACATTTAAAACTACCAATAAATTCAGCGCATTTTGCTGCGAAAATATTTTTTTAGGATTGTCAAACCTTTAACCTTTTTATAGAATACGTTATATATACTTTTTTTTGAAAAAAAACTTCCTCGCGGAACAGTTGAAATTTTAATTTAACTACATCTAAATTAGAGAAAATTTCACATAAATTAATCGTGATCAGATGGAGTATCCGGTTCCCCTTTTTTCTAGAAAATAAAATGGAAAAATTGCTTTATTATATTTACGTATAATTTTTTCAAATTACAGGTTAAAAATTATTCCTGAGTTTTACTTATTTTTCGTACTTTTTTATATTATTTTTTAAATATGCATAGGAGCTACGCTTTCAGTTATTATTGACATGGATCACAGGACATCAGTCATTTTATCATCTTGCATTGCTGTATTTTATACATTATTCGGTGGCTTATATTCAGTTGCATATACTGATGTTATACAACTATTTTGCATTTTTATTGGGCTGTGGATGTGCATACCATTTGCTTGGGCAAATGATCATGTAAAAAGCTTATCATCAATGGATGTTGATTGGATTGGTTCGGTAGCCCCTGAAGAATATTGGTATTACTTAGATTATGGATTACTACTTGTATTTGGTGGCATTCCATGGCAGGTAATAAATACATGTTTTTAGAATTTACATAAGCTCATATAAGTTTTTACTTTAAGAATATGAAGTACTAGTAGATTACACTAATTGTTCGGTCGTTTATTAAAAATCGATTGTACATGAGAAAATTTAATATTACAAATATGCCATTCATTTTTTTCTTTTCTAACATCAGCGCTGTTAGAAATTGATTATATATTACCTATAATTGAAGTATAATACCTATATAATTCAAATTTCGGGAACTTTTGTACAAACGTTATTAATACAAAAATATTAATTGAAATATTCTTTCGATTGAAATATTATATTTCGATATTAATTACAGTTAATATAAAAATAAGAATCTCTTGTGAAATGAAAGAACCTTGCGTAATATTAATCATCCGTAAAAATTTGAGCTTATTTTAACTTTTTATAAGATTTTGACTTTAAAATTTTAAAAATAAAATAAATTTTAAAATTTTTATAGGTATACTTTCAACGTGTATTATCAAGTAAGACTGCCGGTCGTGCACAAATCTTATCCTATGTTGCCGCTTTTGGTTGTATTTTGATGGCAATCCCACCGGTTCTCATTGGAGCTATAGCAAAAGCAACTCGTAAGTGTTTTTAAATACAAATTCTTAGTAAGCGCATTTATTGAAATTCGTTTTATTAATTCTTATTTATAGCTTGGAACGAAACTGATTATAAAGGTCCATATCCATTGACGGTTGACGAGACAAGTATGATATTACCAATGGTACTACAATATTTGACTCCTGATTTTGTATCATTCTTTGGTTTGGGTGCTGTATCAGCTGCTGTAATGTCATCTGCTGATTCGTCAGTTTTGTCAGCAGCATCAATGTTCGCACGCAATGTCTACAAGCTTATATTTAGACAGAATGCGTCTGAAATGGAAATAATCTGGGTTATGAGAGTATCAATATGTGTTGTCGGTTTCCTAGCTACAGTAATGGCACTTACAATTCCATCAATTTATGGGCTCTGGTATTATATTAATTCTTATATTTATATCTTTATAATGAATTTATGTATAATATTTTGTAATAACTTCTAAAAATTTTTATTTTTTATAGGTCTATGTGTTCCGATTTGGTTTATGTAATATTATTTCCTCAGGTAAATTTTAAATATAATATATTTTTAGTCTAAAATCATTCATTATATCAGAGCATTATTTTAAATATAAAATCTATGCATCCCAAAAATATGCAATTTTTCTTAAATTAAATTTATATGTAGAATTAAATTTGTTTTTTAAAGTGTTTTGAAAATCTAGTGAGGTTTGCTATTTTCGTTTTATAGAGTTATATCGACGAAGGATACAGACGAATGTATGAACATGCATGAAGATGTATGCATGTCCATATTTTATTGATACTCATAAAAATGTCAGTTTAAAAATTTTATGATATTAAATATTTTTTAGTAACAATTAAAGAGTTAGTTTAAAAGAATTTAGTGCGCGGAGTGTAATTCTCTAACAAATACCCGTTTTCGGTTAGTCGTATCACTTGAGGCGATGTGATATTATTGGAAGAATTTTGTTCTTCAGTATAGAATTTCGAATTTTGCAAATGATTTTACACAGGAAATTACAATATTTTTGAATAACAACCCATTACGTCAATTAATTGATTGCGACTAATAGAATATGGGTGAAAGTATTTTTCTTTTCAAAAATTATCAATTTAAATTGTCAATTGTCAGTTTTCAAATTCAAGTGCAAATCAATTAATTTCCGCTAAAATTACATTTTACTTCGAATTCATCAATGGGAACCTGAAATAAAACTTGAAAATAATTCCCAAAAATTATTAAAAAGTTTTGTAAAATTTAAACGAATTCGACATTAAAATTATTTAAACAGGTGTTTGAATTTGGATGACTTAAAAAATAAGTATAAAAGGTACTCCTATGAGGTTTAAAGTTAAATAATTGCTGTAATCGTTTTATCATTTATCTAATGAGTGTATTTTCGCTTTGTACACAATAACAAAATGTTACGCTTTGTACACAATAACAAAAATAATTTCTCGCAAATCGATTTCATCCATGATTTCTGTAACAAAACCAATCGTAGTAGTTAATTAATAAGTTTTTTTTTGTTAAATGAAATACGTTTTCACTATTATTCAAATTCCAATCCATTTCAAAACCTATACTAAATATTATAGCCTAGGAAAATACAAAGATAAAAATTAACTTGGTATAAGCAAATTAAAGCAAAAGAGTATTGTAAGAATTCGAAAATAAAGAAGTAGAAGTCCTTATTCAGTTGCTATATAGGTAAAATTGAAATAATTGGGCATTCATAGAAATTTTCGATTATAATTTGTCGAATTTTAACGAACCGATTTTTAGAAATAAATTCATGCTTTTAAACTAAATCATTCTAATTTTTCACATTTATCTTAGCTTTTAATGGTGGTACACTTCAAAAACTTTTGTAATACTTATGGAAGTTTAGCAGCTTATATTGTAGCGTTACTAATTCGATTGGGTGGTGGAGAACCAATTTTAGGATTACCAGCATTTATTAAGTTTTCTGGATATGATGAAGAGAATCAACGGCAATTATTTCCTTTCCGTACATTCGCAATGAGCATTAGTTTAATAACATTAATTTTTGTATCATGGTGGACTAAGTAAATATAAATACATAATTTATTTTTTAAAATTTTAATTTTTAATTTGGTTCTCATTTAATATTTTTCCCAAAGGATGATGTTTGAAAGTGGCCGGTTAGCGCCAAAATATGATTATTTCCGGTGTGTTGTCAATATACCTGAAGATGTTCAAAGAGTTGGAGAACCATCAGAAGTTGGTGAACAGGTTAGTCGTGTATAATACTGAATTTTGTTTTTCATGTTACAATATATTATAAAGTATGCTATTTTGAAATGGAATATTTGAAGATTTTTCTAATTTTAAAGTATTCAATGTGGAGAATCGTATATAATTGAAAATTGTGTATTTGTAACATTACATTTTTATTTGAAATTTTTAAAGTTAGCGGAAAAAGAAGGGAGTGATAAATTTACCCTTAAATGGAAACAAGTTAAAATATGAGGTTTGTGAAGATTTCATGGGTTTTTAAAGTGAAATGTTATATGTAATATGATGTAATTTCATCGTATATTTTTATATGTATAAAATATAACATACTCGTAAATATAGAATGAGAACACCTGTACTTTACGATTAACAAAAAATTTATGTATAATTTAAAGTGAATTTATTTATGTGTAAAAACTTTTTTATTGAAAACCAAAACCGAAATCTTTTTCTTCTACACACATTTTCTAATCGATTTTATGCAAATAATTTGGGACTTTTTCACAAATTTCAATTAAAGTAAAAACGACGAAACAAAAATATTTGTGTTAAACTTAGCTACATACAAACATTTTCAAAGTACACAGATAATTTGTATTGATGTACTAGTATAACACTATATTAACAAAGTTATGTATAATTCCAATTTGATAATATTTTTTTTTTTTTGTTTTAGCTTTCTGTTATGGCTGGTACTATAGGAAGAACATATGGTTCGGCAGCTGCTGCAGCAACAATGGTTGGTAAAGATGAACGTAATGGTAGAATTAATCCAGCTCTTGAACCTGATGATGATCTACCATTTGTTGAAGCAACAAAATCATCAGCAGCAAAACAACCACCAGCTAAACATTTACCGCCAATAAATAGTGGTGGCGGTGGACAAGGCATTGCTGTTCCCAGTACAGAACAAGGAAATACTGCCTTCTAATAAATTAACAATATTAATAATGCGTATATCATTGAAATAATGAATATATATATATTATATACTATTATATCATATAATTTATTAAAAATAAATAATAAGTTTTCATTGAATAAAATGAAAATAAGAATGTAATAAAGATAAATTAAAAATAAAATATAGTTTATGTTCGATGTATAAATAAGTTATGTAAGATACCTACATATATTCACATGTAATAAAATAATATTTTCACAATAATATACAAGAATAACGTAAAAGAGACACTTAAATATAGTAATGCAATGAAACTACATATTAACAAAAATAATACATATCAAATCACGATAAATATTAATTATGTATACCAATACCACAATATAATTGTAGCATTATAACAAGTAAATATAAAATATAAAACAATATAACAATTTAAAACTATAATATAGTTTTAAGTTTTAATGTGAAAATTATCTACAAAATTATGATGCAATTCCTAAGTTATATTCTAAAATATTTGAAAGTAAATGAGTTCCAAAAAATAATTTTTAATTCAAAAACTATTGTATATGAAATAGAGTCAAAATTTCTTTTATAAATACATACATACAAATTACGTGTAATAATTTTATATTTTTTTAAAAAACAAAATTATTTTTGAAGTTTTTTTTTTAGATAAATTAAAAAACTATGTATTTACACTTAAATATTTTTAACTATTTGTATTAAAAGTAAATAGTTTCGCTTCTTACAATAATTAATGTAACATATTAGATAAATTTACTTTAAAGAAGTCAGTTCTTAGCAATTTTTCATCATAACGTCTTGACAAAATATAAACGGCTTAATGTATTTGATTTTATAACTTAATTTTAAAATTTGTAACTTTTGTAATATTCGCATGTGTATCTATATCCAGCAATATGTATTAACAAATTTTATTACTATAGCTAAAATTTTATTGCCGATTATCAATAATGTCCGGCACATTTTATATTTTTTAATAGATTCTTGTACATACATACTTTAATTGTTCAAAATGTAAATTTGCGAATTTTTTTCGCATGAAAATTTTTATTTTAAATAAAAATTAAACAGTTTCGGAAATTCTATAAGATTTGCTTATTTTGCTATTAAAAATAATTTCTTCAAATTGTATCCTTAATAAATAGCATGAAAGTTACATTTTTTTGTCCAGTTAAGCGAAATGATAACAATTTTTATAATAGATTATACTATATTATTTATAAAATCAATTAACAATAAAATACGACTTTAATTTTTACAAAAAAAAATGATATTTATATTGCATTTAGCAGTCTTTTCTGTTTTAAATTAGAACAATAAAGTATACTTAAAAATTACATATAAGGTTATTGTATCAACATAATATTAAAATAATTTTTATTTTGATAATATTTTTTATATTTTGCTACAGATATTTGACATTTTTTATTAAAAACTTACGCTTTTTCTTAATTTACGAAAATTATATTAAACTATTTACAACAGAAAAAATATTTAGAATAAAAAGGCAAATACTTTCTCAATTATTTTTTAATAAATTATCAATATACAATTATATATTTATTGCTATATACAAAACAAAATTAATTTATACGTATTTAAATTAGTTATACGTATTGTATAACAAAATTAAAAAAAAATTTTTAATAATTTCAAGAATAAAATTAGAAAAATTGTTATTTTTCTTATATAGAAAATATAGAAATACAAAAATATTTTAATTTAAAAAGTAATTCAATAGAACAGATCACTACCTGGTTTGGTATAAGGCCACCGCTATTAAAAACTCTTCGAACTACTTTAAATTCAGTCAGATTCAATATAATTTGTATGTTTTTTCCTTATTTGTTTTCTATTGAATTGAAATTGCTTTTTAGTCTGACAAAAACTATTGAACAAAAGTGGGTACTTTTCGTTTTTCGCTAAATTTTTTCTGTAATTATTTTCCTACTTTATAATAACCAGGGCAGTGAACAGGTTATTAAATTTTTTATCATATTTAAATTTTTTATCATACATGTATTAGATTAGTCTTCAGTTTTGTTTTGTAAAAATTAGTTTATTGCTCAAAAACCACAAAAACAATAAATAATATGTTATAAATTGTAATTAACCAAATTTTCAAAAAGTTTTTTTTATTTATACTTGCGCAATATATTAAATTTAATTTTATTTGGGACGGCATATTGAAATAGTTAATTTTTAAATTATAAACTACTGTAAAAGAAATACATAAGAAAACTAAGAAATTCAATATTTAAAGTTTATTGTATTCCACCAACACATATTTGTATAATAAAAAAAATAATATATAAGTACAATATATGTACAATATATTTTCTAATATTACTAGCCAATATTCTAAAAACAAATAAACCAATTCAAAACTCATATCCCATCGCAATTTGATATTAAAAATACTAGTTTCTTCCCAAAAACATAAACGAAAACCAAAGAAATTTTAACGCTTTAAAAGAAGTATAGTTTGTTTCTTAAAAATTAAACTACACGTTTTTTTTTATTTCATTCAGATGGTCTTAAAATCTGCAATAAATAATTCAGTAATTTTAATGAATTTCGAAAGGGCAGTTGAAATTAAAAAATAAATAATATAAATTTATATTTTATATGAAAGTAATTAAGTAAATTATTATGCCACATACCATACGAGTAATTTCAGAAATATTTTTAAACTTCTCTGAAATGTGTTAATGAAGTTCTAAATATTATATTTCAAAAGTACCCTTAAATATGAATAAACAAATATATTCAATCAATTCCTGTACCTGTCCTTTCAGAAAAATAAAATTAATAAAACACTTATTTGAGTAAACATTATGTTTAATTTTTTTTATAGTAATAAGTTTAATTAATATATTGTCGAACTTAAACACACATATCATAAAGAAATACAATAATATTCTATGTAAATTTAAAAAAAATTAAATTAAATTTAAAAATGAAATAAGAAAAAAAACCAAAATATTATAAAATACGAATGTAGAACTGAAATTAGTGTTGTAAGAATAATGAATTTTAATATAAGTTAAGATTATAAATCACGTAATTTAATACACAACCATATACTAATTAATTGAACGTAAATAACGAAATTATTAAACTATTTCATTTATTATTTGTCATTATATCAAAATAATGATGAAATAATATTAAAAATTTAAGTAAAAAAATAAACAATCTTATATCCTAAACAAACTAAAGTCACACTGCAAAATTTGACATTTGCAAAAATTTGACTTTAAACGTTTTATAAAACACAATAAGGCTAGAATGAAAAAAAAAAATAATAACAAATTTATAAGTTATTCAAATGTTTTGCGATAATATTTGGCAGTAGCAGCAATTACGAGAATAGAAAATAAACTAATTTTGAAATTGCCGCTTGCGGTTGCAATATCATTCCACACGTTTCTATTTAATAGTCTAGAAGTTAAATTTTTTTGCAATTGTGAGTTTTTGCAGTTTGAATTAACTTTAAATATGTTAAATACAAATACGAGTACATATATCTGGAATATACAACAATTAGTATATGTATTTTTCTCTTAAGCAGATAATTGAATACCAAACAGTTTTTTTTTTTATTTCGTAGAAAATAATTACCATGCATTATACGTAGAGTATAAAGTTATTTGCACTATCGTTTGAGTGTGCCGAATTACAGATATGCACATAAAATATTATGTGTATATTTGTATAAATTCAATAAAAATAATTTTTACAAAGTTATTTATTTTATATTATTTAAATATATACATATATACATAACGTAGTATATATAAATATTAGAAATATAACAATAATAATGAAAATGTGTCCTTCCACAAATTAATTGCATTACTTTTAAATATATGAGCACTAAAATTTTGTTGATTATAAAAGAATATTTATTTAACATTTTAATTTTAATACATAAACCTATATAGTGATCCATTAAAATAATTATATCATGTAGTATAGCAAATTATATAATATCTTCCTTAAGACATAGAATCATAATTTGTAATTATTCTTCTAATTAATTTTATTAAAAGCTGTGTTCTATGTACAATGTTAAACTTTTTTCAATTTTGAGTTTTAATACAAATATTATTAAAAATTCAAAATTACCTTATGCAAAAACCAAAATTTTTTATACTTTTTGAAAAAAAAAAACTTGAGGAAGATTTGAATTATTTTGTTTCTAAATTTTACTACTGAGTGAAAGGAATGTGCAATTTTCGATCAACAACTGAAAATCAAAATAAGTTTGAACAATTTTCAAATATGTATGTATGTTTTGGTTTCGACAAATCACTTCAACATCATCAAATATTCGGAACAACTATGCCAGTTTTTATTAGAAATTTGTTCAAACTTACTTTAAATTTGCTCAATTGTTGGTCAAGCATTACAAATTTTTCTTGTCTCACAGTGTGAAAATGCAAATAAATTTTCAAATTTTTGAATTTAATTTTTATACCGTAATCTAATTTTATCAAATCATATAATAAACATTCATACATATATAGCGAATAATATTAAATATCAATTATATTATTGAAACAAAAACATATCAACAAGAAAAGACAAAATTAAATGAAAAAATGTATTAAAGAAACTCGAACATATCATTAGCTATTAAGAATTATATTTAGTAACTACAAAGGGATATTATTAGAAGTAATAATTAAAATGGCAAAATTATATATTTTTAATGTATTATACAAAATTAAGTAAATTATTATAAAGTCAACAACAAAAAACACTAAAATTATACATATCAATAACTGTTATAAAAATCAAGTATAAAAAAAAATATAATAAATAAAAAAAAATATTTAATCATATATAAATGTAAATTATTAAAAAATAAATAAAAAAAATAAAAAAAAAAATAAAATAAATAATATTTTAGACAAATTCATTGAACAAAACTGTTATGTAAATCAAATGTGTTGTTGTAAATTAAAGCAAATAAAATATAGATTCTAGATTATATATATTACATAGT